TCGGCTTACGGGTTTTTCCTCAACTAGGTATCTCCCACCAGCGGGGCACAGCCTCAGCCGGGACAAGCTCTAATTTCCCGACCGGTCTCCGTCATATGTGGTAGTGCAGTGCATGGTAGTGTAACTGTGTACAAGTAGAAGGGAGGTTAGGACACGGAAGAGGAAGGAGAGATCGCACGCGGTCCGTGGCCCGTTTGTTAGGGTACTACTCTGGCCTTAGCCTGGTGTTGATCAGAGAAACTACGGAAAATCAATCAGAGAAGCTGCTGATCGAGATAACAACTGAATTCGACGTACTAGTTTATATCCTATGTACTGTCGAAAAACCTGCAACCGTCGTGACTGCAACCCTAGTACCTCCCCACCTGAAGCACTGCAGTAATATAAGTTCATGCTCTGAGTTTGGTTAGCGCAAAAGATGCCTATGCAAACGCAGTTATAGCCATCTCGAGTCACTCCGAATATCACGAGCGAACGATACAGAGGAATTTGTGAACGTCAACTCTGGTGGACAGGATTTCGAATTATATTTCTTAGTTGCCAATTCTTCAACAATAAATTCGGAACCGGCAGTCAGAATAGTCTATGCCAAAATATCCAATTACTCATTCTTTTATTTTTCTCATATTTTTGGATATCGAGGTTTCGATGAAACAGAAAAGTCCAAGAACGATGTGATTGATTTTGTTTTCTAAATTGCTGAAAAACGAAACTTCAATCTCTGCTATCATTGATTTATTATACTAATTGCGAGGGAGAGTCTTTACAGAATGTTCAGCTGATACGACATTCTAATGAAGAATTTTTCATTTAAAAAAATTAAAGGACTATTTTTATTTATTGAACTGTAGTTATTTATATCGTATTTGATTCAAATACCGCATGACTTTTGTTACATAAAAAAATACCAACAATCTGTGTTTGTTCATAGGATCATGCCAGTATGTAATAAATAATTTAAACTTTTCAAAAAACTTTTGAAGAATCACCCATTTGGACAAGTGTGCTGCATATTTTTTGCCAAAAATACGGGACCATTTTCAAACATGATTATTAAGTAGTTACAGCACATTACATTAAATTTCTACATTTCAAATAAACTAATGATATTCCAATGACGTTTTCAAATTTTCTTGCAATTATATCTGTCCTACGCCTCATTCAACGTCTATTCAAACTTGTAATTTAATTGATGCACGAAACAGAAAGTCTACACACAAAGTTCTTCCTTTCTTGCACAATGATTTTTCTTTTTTGCTCGCGAATATACCGGCGTGGCATGCAGCATGCAGACCCGCCATGCACCGCCAACACCCATTTACCAGGGCTCAGAAACATCTCGGTGGCAGGTGCATGTCATTTTTACCATAGGATCAGCATTTAGCTGGATCTGATTTTTATGGTATGGAAGGGTTCAGAAGATGAAATGATGATAGTGCGTGGTGAGAGGACGGCGCACACATACGCCAATACAAATACCGATGCCCGAACCTGACCGGGGCGGGACTCATACCTGCAATCTTCTGGTCCGAGACTGCTTCGGCACTACTTCCTTAACGATCTCGGCCATCTGATCGGCAATGATTTAATTCATGTATTTTCTTTGTACGAATATAATTCTCGTGTATAATTTATAACCAAACTTTGACGAGTAAAACATATCCAAAAATTCGATTCAATAACACAAATTTACAAACGTGTTCGCATTGCCACCTGCATTCAAAAAGGGTATTGCATTCAACTTCGCAAAATTAAAATCATTGAAAAGAATTTGAAACGCAGAGGAGAAATAATTACAAAAAACGTCGACGTCATAAGAAAACAAGAGATAAAACTCACGAGGCGGGAACAAGGGAGGGGTTGTTGCGCTCCAAACCACTTCCGGGCAGAAGCTCGGAGTTGAGGCTATAAAACCTTCTGCTGGGCAGACAAAGGCGAGTGCGTTTCAGTCACGCAACGTCCCATACGCGGCTGCTCGTCCGCGCAACGACGTTCCACGAGGACGCGAGAGGAGGCAGGGTACAGGGCCAGCGAGGCCTTCCATGTGCACAATGAAACCCTCGCCAGATGGCCGCGTCGGGTATTCACATCGTCGCGATGACAGTTACTCGTGTTCACGGACGGCAGACGCGGTCGTTTCTTGGCCTGTTCTCAGGCGTATCTGATCTACGGAGTTCACGTTTTCGTTTCTCCCCTTCTTTGACTTTTTATGGACTTTTATTTCAGATTTCACCTTACGGGTCATTGTTGGAAACTATAAATATGTTAAGGAGGTCCTCCGGTCCAGGCAGAAGTCTGCGGTGTTCACCAGAGGAAACAATGCTTTCGGGAATCACCTGAACGCCGTTCGGCTATTGCTTTTTGGGGGAATATTGTGCTGCCTGTTTTTGCAGGCAGATGTAATTATAAAATAAAATGGGTAGTACTCACCAATTAATAGTCAGCATAAGTATTCAAGATAAAAAGGGATGAGGAATTCTATGTAAATCGATATTTTAATTGAAGGGCATCATCGCACGCAGAACTGCATGCTCGTTGAGAAATGTAAATCTGATTGTGTTGTAACGGCAATTGAAGAGTTAGAATAAAACTGCTACTTATGAATTTATGACCAACATTTCTAACTCTCAAATTAAATTTTAATAAATAAATATAATAATTTAATAAAATAAACACCACTTCAGGAAAATCATGAAATTTTTATAACATATTTAATTGCGACAAAAGTTTCACGAAGATAGTTTTAAAATGTGATTCTGAAATTTTTCCATAATGTGTACGCCATTGAGGGACAAATTAACAGAATCTGTAAATAGACTTTGGAAACAAAGAACGGAAATCTAAAATGTTCGTGGAAATTTCGAAGGATTGTGGAAACTGCACAACAAATAATTAGCCATCTATTAGTGAATAGCACCAGGTGTGTTGATTTACCGAACGTTTACGCATAGGTTTAATAAATGTTAGAGGAAGAGACATTGCGCAGAATGCTTAATATTCACGTTACATCGTTTCTTAGATCTTCCCACATATCTTCTTCCTTTCAATCTGTAGACATGCAGAAATTTCATTGTAGCTTTCAGAAATTCAAATATATTCCAAATTCCACATTTTAAAAAATTGCATTTTTTGCAAGGGAACTGGTTTACTTGTGGTAGTTGATTTTGCTGAAAGTGTTTTACTGTGTATACTAGCTGTCAACTAGTTTTGTGAAATGTTTACTAGTAAAAATAAACTATTATTGGTACATACGTAACTTCACATGTATAACACTTCATTTAAGTAAAATAACGAATTTGGTAATTAGTTCTTGTACATTGATGACGTGGTCTAGGCAGGCCCTGAAAAGATATTCTGCCCTTTCCCCATGTCTGGTTTGTTTATTATCTTGTATTGATTTATTCCTCTCAGAAAGTATATTTCAGTCTGAATTTTTCTACAATTACTCTCAGAGTAAGTAAGTAACATAATTACTCTTCCAGGTAGAACTAGTAGAATCAATGAAAGTGAAAAAGGAACCATACGATTAATGTATTTCACTCAGGCAATATTAATCCTTCCACCTTTTTTCTTCGCCAAAATCGGTACTCGGTGCATTGTGGTTTACGAAGTCAGTATTTCAAAGTACTGCCAAAGGTTGTCGAACCAAAATGTTCGAAAGAGGTTGTCAGGTTGTCGAACCAAAATGAGTGAGCAAAAGGTGCTGTTAACTTTAAGCTTTCTTTGTAAACAAACATACGGCTTCGACGAGAGTGTAGTATCGGAGCGGACACGAAGCGGAGCGGACACGAATGAGCTTTCGAACGACGACAGTTGTGGCTACCACACACATTCAATTTGAAAGCGCTGCTCGGCTGTTCAATTGTACTTTTTCCAGGAAACTTACAGACTATTTGTTCAAGAATTCGTTTTTGAAATTTTATTTATAGTTGCATTAATAACTAGTTTATTAACGAATATGGATATACAAGATACTCAGTCAATACAATGTTTGAATTATGCAGAGATTACACATATAAGACAAATATTATTACAGTAATTATTCACAATGGCCAGTTTATGACCACAAGGGCCTCCATGGCCTTCTCGGTGTTCATTGAAAAATTACAAATTAGTTTATTCAGGCTTATAACTCATTATACACTTTGAATATTTTACATAATTTTAATATTTCCCCCCAAAACACATGAGTATAAAATCACTTCAAGGTTGTCATTCTGTAGGATTGATTGTCTTTCATAGATGTACATGGTACACAGCAGAAGGATATTGAAAGTTAACAATTGTTTGTTGCCCAGAATTCGTTGTTCGAAATCAATAAGGAAATGTCTTGGGAAAAAAATCAATGAGCAAATCTAGGGCGTATATAATAAAAAAACCTATGAGTAATATGTTGCAATCCGATCTTCGTATAATCCTTCATTAGTTACACATCTGTTGTACTATTTGTGAACCATATAATATATTATAATATAATATAATATAATATAATATAATATAATATAATATAATATAATATAATATAATATAATATAGAATCCAATGCATATTGCAAGGGCTGTATTCAGCAGGATTCATAACTGCAATGTATAGAAAGTTAATTTTAAGAGAAATGTTTAATTTTTTTGAAAATCTTTGTACATTTAAGCCTTTATGTACGCATGCATCTTATCGGGCGCAGACTTTGTTGCGAGTAGATGTACATTTAAATCATGCGCCGCAAACGACCGCGCGGGTGCGCATTGTCAATAGTCGTGTGCAACGACCACCAAAGTTGGTCACAGCAAAGGCGGTAACGGGTTAAGATAGTCGAATCGGTCCTTCGAACGTAATTCTGTTTTATATATTCAGGCCTATTCTGAACCATAAAAAAACACGTTCTATGTTAGTTTTGACTCGTTATTGTTGAACCTACAACGCAAATCTGAAAATAATCGGTTTTTGAGGCTCTCCAGGCATTTTCTGTCTATGATTATATGAACTTGAGTTTGAACTTTTGTATTTCATTTCTTGGAATCAAACAGACCTAAATTATTCATTTTTGTAAACACTAGCAGCTGCAAAGAGGCAAAAATATTCAAATAAACATGAAGAAGTTATGTATTTGGTTTTCTTGTTTTACCATTTTTAATTTTTGACATATTTACTAAACTATGATGTTTTTAAGTATATATTTTCTCCAACTTTTTAAAGTTCTCGAATAAAGTAACATAATGATATATTGATAACGGCAATTGTTAATATTCGGAAGGAAAGATAAGAAAAAAAGCGTTCTATATTTCTGAGATGTGTACAGTGTCTTATATCACATTTTTCCGGAAAGCGAAAAAAATGGGTCTTTTGGCGTCCCAAGACAGAAATCGAAATTGAAACCTTTCGCCTCGAGCCATTACGACAGGCGACCTTAGTGACCAATGATGGAGAGGCTTACTAGAATATTTTTCTTCAATAGAACGTGCTTTGAAATGTAATTTACAAAACAAATCAGACTGGTACGTGTTAAGAAGTATTCGAATCGTTATGCAAATATTCTCATTTACAATTCATTGTGGTTGTTGCAACTCAGATCACGAGTATTAACTTCATTCAATAGCCTCTTGGCTTCCTTTAGTAACAAATTTCTCCTGAATGTTCTTAGACACGGCATATTCATTGCTAAGATTATTTCCTCCTTCTCATAGCTAAAGCTTTCGAGGTCTTTAAAATTCAGTAGGCTATTACGAAAATCACGCGGAGTATGTTGCGCGATCGAACTCCAACACTCACGGAATATGTGATGCAGGCATTTTCTTACAATTTTTTCTACAAAATTGGCTATAGTTAAGGCCCTATATTACATCTTAGCAATTTCTCCGTGGATCACCAACGGTGTGCTTCCGGGACCCCCCCCCCTTAAAGATGATCTTATTTATGTTTTGGCAATATTGCTCAATTAATAAATTGATTTAACTAGTAATACATGTATGCATTAATTTAAATAAAAAATAATTAATTTCATCCCGTGCAAAGTAGAAATAGCGTCTTTCTTACAGCAATGTTCAAAATTAATGACAGAACGTATTTAATAATTGTATTATTAAAATCAGATCATAACAGAGCAATTATATTCATGTACACGAGCATAATAATATCAAAATTTAAATACATTCTGAATTTTCTGTGTTCGAGTAAATGCTCCCTGGTTTTGGTTACCACAAGCAAAGACGCTATACGTACTAAAATTGTAACAAGTACGTATTTTGAACAAAAAACATCCAATTATATTCTGCTTCGTAAAATAACGAGAATAGAAAACACTCGTCGGTGAACTGACTCCCTCGGTATACTGCAATTTAACTTCGTTGATTTCTTCTTCCCTAGGAAACTTTTGCAAGCGAGCAGGTGTTTCGAGCATTGACCTCACGTGAGGCTACTAAGCAAATTCTGAGTCGCAGTTTTGCCTAGTGGCAGTGCTGCCACGCCGCGGCCTGTCTCGCACGCCAAGCAACTCTTGTCGCCGTTTCCTTCCGGGTTCGAATCTCGGGTTTACATTTGGCATTCATGCCTTGTACCTTTAAATTATTATTATTATTTATATTATTATTATTATTATTATTATTATTATTATTATTATTATTATTATTGTTGTTGTTGTTCACGCATGGACCACTACTGAACACGCAACACATTTCTCTCATTCTTTTCTCTCATTTCTTTCTCCCTTTCTTGTATTCTATCCTGGAAAGATCAACGTGTGGAATTATGGGGATCAGCGTTTGCATTCTTTGAATAAGAAAAAGTTGTTGACTTTCAATATTTTAAATTTATTTATTAGTATTTAGCGGCTCTTCAATTATTGGGGTCATTGAGTCCCAGGAGTAATGATTTTCTAAATAGATAGCAATTATGCTGTAGAGGTGAATGATGCTATGGTAGAAGAGCTATGAAATGGGAGAGAGAGAGAGTGGCAGCGAAAGGGGAGAACCCGAGCACACGTGCCGAGAGCTCGCTTTGACTTCTTGGATTAGCCGGGGATCGCATCCAGGCTGCAGCGGTCGAAAGCAAAATTAACCCATCGTTAGTGACCCCTCTCCATATCCTGTACAAAAATTCTTATACCTTTGATTAGCCCAAGAGCAAAGAGTATTTTATTATTATTATTATTTAACTACTACATTAAAATAAAAAAATGCAAAATATCTAGATAGTGACAAAATTAAAACAAAATGTGAAAATGAATATTTATTTTTTTAATGAAGTTACTTCTTTAAAATCTTATCTCTATATACTCATATTAATAACTCATCGAATAAATATTTAAGCTCTATGGCATGCCATTTCTAAACCCATTTTATAACTGATGCTACTTGTTAAAAGTTAAGATCCCTGGTTCTCCCATAATGTGTTCAATTGATGCAGATATTCTTAGATATTAAGTTCTCATTTCGTTTTTGAAATACACTTTTTTAATAATCAAATGTCACGACACATTCATCACTTCTGTACGAAGTCACTGTATGGCTTCGAAAGCTATATTTGATGGGGAAATTGCAGATTTCTAAGACGACACCTAGGACAACCCGGAGTAAGAGGAGTCAAGATCTGCCCGAACCGCTTGTTTCCCCCCTTTTTGCTCTGAACGGAACCTTAGTTTTACTGTTTAATGAGCAGATCCCTCCTCGTTTCAAAATAAATTATTTCAGGAGCAGTTCTACTATACGAAGATACCAAATCACGCCGATTCTCCCGGGTTTCCCTATTTATTTGATTCAGATGGAAAGGCGAAAAAAATAATAAACTTCTGGAGACGTGTTAATTGTAAAATTGAAAAACGATATCTGTAATTTTTACACTAAGAGTGGGGTATAGAAACATATTCACAGAAGAAAATTTCGGTTTCAATAAAACGTAAATTTTATTCTTATAGCAACAATTGGACTCATTTGCCGAAAGGATCGTGTTTGAACACCCAACCAAGTCATTTCACGGCACCACGAGCTCTGTGTCTAATTAGGAATCCCCACTGGAAATTCCAAAAAACGAATACTTCAGTTATAGATCGGATGTATGATCACAATTTATGCCTTTCTCTCTAACTCAGGGCCGTCTCTCCTCGCGGTTCTGAATACTTATTAGTCAGTGCTGCGGGGCATGCAATGTTACACACAATAAGTCACTGTCCGGAAGCCATCGCATGCAACCTCTGTTCATCTATGTATTGGTGAGTCAGGGTCACAGAAATTGTCCAACACGGTCACGTATTTGAAAAAAACTGCTTAGAGTTTTGCAATATCAGGTTTCCAACACATTCCAAATAATCAAAATGTTAACTGTTGTGAAATAAAGACTTACGACCCTTGGTGAAATAATCTTTTCTTGATCTTGGTGAAATAACTGTTAATTTGATTTCAAATGAACTGATTGGCTAGCAAATAAGTGGAACATGATAATAGAAATATTAACTGATAATTGTTACTGAATATTATGCTTTCTTAAAGTAATATATTTTTCACAACATTGCTTAGACTTTTAGTTTATGAAACTTTGTTTCTATCTTCTTGTTCAGCCACAAGGTCTTTCAAGAGTTGGAATACAATTTTATATCCACAATAAGGTTTTGGTACCATCGCTAATTGCTAACACATTTACACCATCACTAATATTGGTAGTCTAGGAGAGTGTGTACAATTTTTTTTAATAAAATGTTTTTCTGGTGATCAATAATGATACTACTAATAATTAAGGTGAACGCAATTTATCTTTAGGAAATTGTTATTTAACTGTGCTGAGGATCACAACATTACGGCCTAAATTAAATTGTGCATGTAAATGAAACTTTGTGGTTACCAACGTTTTAATAAAAGAAATATCCAATAACATCAGTAATTGTTTTCATTGACGTGAATGCAAAAATATGTGCTTATTGGGCGGTGCATACTGGGTGAGGTACTGTCAGGTTCGCAGTGTAGCCCGTGGGTTTTATGCCCTGCAAAATGCACTGTGCAAACTAGAGCATGTAGGGCCACCGCCGAGGGCACGTCGTATGACACCAGGGTCACGCCCAGTACTTCCAGTTCAGTTGCGGAAGGACGAGGCTCGTAGAAAGGGAAGCCACTGCCATTCGCCCAACGGGACGCTTTCGTTTCATGATGTTGGCTAAGTCTTCGAATACTTCCGCCATGGTGGCAACGCCTTTCATTGTGGAGCTGAAAACCGCCCCTACAGGGGAAGGAAATGGGGCGAGGGAATTAAAAGGTCCCGTACTCTAGACACCAACACACTTGCAGGCTCCTCTCATCTGGAGGTCAACTGAACGCGAGGCCCTCGGCGACAAGACAAACATGAGAGACAAGGGACAAACAATCATGGCCAAGGCAGGCCTCGAACCCGTGACCCTTCGGACCGAGGCATTTAGTCGGTGCACGCTTTAAGCAACCTCAGCCATCCAGGTCGGCGTGTCAAATACAAACCATACATACATACATAAATATTGAAATAAAAAAAAATTATAGAGGTGATACGGGCAGAAGCGTGGCTGGCGATGCCGCAGCTTGCAGTGCATGCGCGTCGTCCAGTGAGGCGGTGCGTGACGGCCGTTGCCGCGTCGCGTGGCGTCGCCCGCCCCGGCGGAGGCCATCCGCAGCGGCGCATCCTTCTCCCCCCCCCCCCCCACCGCTCGACTTTCGCCTCCGCAAATCACTTTCACCCGCGCCGTGCTCGCATTTCCGAACCGTCCGCCCACTTTCAGGCGTAAAAATACCTCCGGTCCCTGTATGTCACAAGCAGGGTCCGTTTATTCAAGCTTCGTCTACCAGGTGCTAGGCTAAACAAACGAAGAGAGTGCGTCTGCGTCTTCTGTTACAATCAGGGCGCGAATTGATGTGAAGGGGGGATGTTGAGATTGATATACTATTAGAGAGTTTGATGACTCATGGTAGCAAAGTATTGATTTGTTCAAATCTAAGAATTAGCCACCAAGACTCAGAGCAATTGAAAAAGAAAACATTCCCCAGAACGTTCTTAGTGTTTATTCAAAATTTATTTAGACTGCGTTCTCCACAATGGACTTCGTGTCATTCGCCAAATCGTCGATTCGCCCACCCCAAGAGTTCTCAACGCCGTTCCTCCTTGGAGAAAATTCTCCTTTCGTATCCTGGTTACGCGATCCTCGCGTACGATAGACGAACCTGCGTGAACAATTTGCCGAGCTTTTGTGGTTTTTGTAAAATATTAATAATTATTGTAAAGTAAGATTTGTCTCCAAAATTGCCGTAAAATATTATGATTGCCACTTGTCACCACTTCTTCCCAAAGTCGGAATGAAGCACTATCGCCTAAATTCACATTATTCATAATATATTTCCTTGTAGAAAAAATAATTATATGAGTCGTCATTGCCAACAATAATTTTTATTATAAAAGCAGCTTTCGATGCCTTAGCTATCATTATCAGTTTTCTGGTATATGAATACCATGAAACGACTTGTAAACATTATTGGTGACAATGGCGACTCATATAATTATTTAATTGTAAATGACAAAGAAAACACACCACAATACCAATAACCTTGGAGAAAACCTTGTTTAATGGAATAGTACTTAAAAGTTCAATGCGTGTATTCCAAGGGGGAAAATCCAAAAATTATAATGATTTATGCCTATTGTGCAATTGTGAAAGAGAAGACAATTATTGAAGAATTTATTTTGTCAGTCGTAAGTATTTTGTCTTTAAGAAAAATAAATAATTACGTATATTGAAATATTTTATATGAAATGTCCTCTTTTTTATGTCGTGTCCACTTTTTCCTTAATGAAAGTACGGTAACTCTACAAAAATGGCTCCATACTCGAACCCAACTTCGAATATATCTTCCTCTGATGTGGGGCATCGCAAAAAAGGTTATACAACGTCCGAGAAGGTTGATTGTATAAATTATATAGAGAAATATAACACTGTCCCAAGGGGGCCGGACACTTACCAGGAGCCTAAAGTATCGTTTCTGAATTATGAACGATGGCAAAGTGGGCTGAAACGTAAACTGTTGCAGATTGCATATAAGCCTGCATTTCCCCAATATCATAATCTGCGAACTTCTATTTTTCGTATTATATGTGATGTAGATTTTTCGTATTATATGTTATGCAGAACAGGCGGTAATTCTCTAGTCAACTGTAGTACTATTACGAGGATTCGTACCGATAGCTAGTTACAAAAAGGCCTAGTATAAAATCGTCAACATTCCTTAGGGTATTTTATAGAGAGTGGATAATGGTCTGTAGCTTTTTAAGGATGAGGAGAATGGTGTTCAAGGTACTGTTTAAGTGAAAGTAAACAGACAATAAGTAGTGATAGAAAAATTGCGAATGGACCGGGCAGGGATGTCAGGGATCGCCCTCCTAAAAATATGGAAGTCCACTGCCGGAAAAGTATAATTTTCCCTCCCATGTACGCAATTACGTAATCCGTTTCTAGGCGCATCATTTATGATTTCAACACTTTGAAAAGTTCAAGTCAAGTAATCCAAATCAAGAAATTCCGAAAGCACATTTTTGGTTACGGACCTTTTTTGATACGTACTTGCATTGGGCTTCGTGTACACTTTCAAGGTAACAGACACAATCCACGTGTCTGCATTAATAATGCAATCATTACATTAACATTGTGTAAAAAAAATAGAAGTTTCATTTCGTCATAACATCTCTGATAGTTCACTTTATCGACGCCCCTGGAGGCAGCTTCAGTTCGCACACAGGTAACAGATGACATTGGTATGCTTGTACTATTTTACTATAAGTTTACCTTAGTAACCAGTAATACACTTGCGATACAAAACTAATAAAATATATAATATCGTAAAAATGTTCACTTCTTGTCAATCTCCGCCCCTCGTAAAACTCATCGTATTTTTAATATCATCACCTTCGGCTCCACCTATGCCGGATAAAGTGCCTGCTTACCTCGACAACCACTGGTTTTAAGTAATTAAATACATTTAATTGCATAGAAAGTAATTACAACACTTAAACCTGACGTGCACTTCCTATAAATTCATCTTCATTACGCGTCCACCTCTATTAACGTCCTATTTTCCCCGTAAGTGGCTGCTAAAGACAGGTCTCCATGCACCTATGACACAGCTCCACCTGTTTTCCAGCGAGCGTAGGACGTGGCGGCGACGAGGCCGCGCCGCGTGGCCGGCCGGCCGGCATCTCCAACACCTCACCGCCTGCCCTGCCCTCCCTCTCCCTCTCCCTCTCCCTCGAGCGCTCTCCGTCGCGTCTCGTGCCGTCTCGTCTCGTCTCGTCTCCGTCTGGCGCGTGCGCGCGGCCGGAGGCTCGCGTCGCCCCGCCTTCGGTCGTCAGTCGCCGCCCGCGCCGCTTCCCGACGCCACCTCTTCCGACGCCGAAGCCGGCGTCCGGTATTTCTTCGTCCTCCAGGTACTGCCCGGCGCTGCCGCCTAGGAACGCCCCTCTCGTGGCTACAGTGCGTCCGCTGCAAAGATGATCACCTGAGTCGGCATCTGTTCGCATTACCAGATTCCGTGTACAATCGACTCCGGTTAGAGTGTACTTCTGGGGAAACACATTTTTGTTTCACTACATCCGACGGCGTCAAAATTAAATAGAATTTTCCCATAGTTATTAATTTTATTTATATAGATATACCGCAAAATACATGAACTGAACCAATTGAAAATTCCATAATATTTATTTGATCTTAATAAATAAATTATTTTTAATTCTTTGCTTGGAATATTTTTCATTAATAATTTCTCTGGATCCTTCTCCATTGTTCGTACGCTCTTCATACTTGATTCTGCATTGCCCTCTGTATGTAAGCATCGTAATGCAGCCTTGACACCCTTCAATGCCACTTTCACTGTTGGAACACCGTCCCATTCTCCAAAGGCCATTCTACTCCCCTAATAATATACGAGATCTTTTCGGTAACGGCTAATGAAACTGATCGCTGAATGAAGTATTCAGGGTCCGCTTCCTCTACTTGAGGGGCGACCTCTTCCATTGTTACCTTTGGCCGACAATATTTTTTCCAAGCTGCCTAGCACTGGATTTCGTGGCATTGAGGCGATGTATTTGTTTATCGAGAAGGAATTTTCAGGACTTATTTCCATCTTTCACTTTAGCCGAGGTTCAATATTCACTATAAGTGAATCTTCTAATGCTTATTTGTAATGTAAGTGGAACGGGACCAGTGTCTTGGGTTCTATTTAACCGAGCATTCACTATAACCGTAGTCGACTATTTTGTTTTTCCAATTTTTTGGTTGTTATTTTTCTGGTTGTAAATATACAGATACCGAGAACACGAAGTACTTTTCAGATGGAGTTTATAGATCACGTGTCGTCAGCATTTCAAATACGAATTAAAAGTGTTGTCATTGTATTTATTTTTTGATCAGGAATGTCTTCGTTGCGAGATGAAAACGAGAGTCGCCTAGTTTCAAATCAAGAAACCACGAATTTTTGTTTTGCAATTTTCTGGTTATGTCACTTTTTTTAGGGTACACCGATCTATCAACAGACTAGATTGTAATATTCAACAGGAGGCAGAACTTTTTTATTTTATTACGGAAAATAAAGTAATTGATAGCAAAACCAGTAAATACAAAAATCGGTTTGAAAAACAGTAATATTCTGGTGGTCAACTGAGCGTTTTGAAAATTAATATTTGTATACTTTGATTAATAGTTATTGAAGACGTCGCGTGCCAGGGAACATTCCCAACTCAAACTCATGTGTGCGCCGGTTCGCAATCCTGTACCATGTTATGCCTTAGCGCGCTCGCCCCTCCTAAGAGACCTAACCTTCAGCTGGTTCGCTTGCACACCTGCGATTGTGGAGCTGGTTTCAGAACTAATTGATTTTCGAGCAAATTAGGACGATTCAGATAATGAATACTAAAGCACAGACCCACATGGTTCTGACAAATACGCTGCTACTTAAAAGCGTGCTAATCAAAACATGGACAGATGTTGAAAGATTTAATATGTTTCGACAATATTATCTTTTGCTTGATAATATTTAAGATCTACACAAAATTTCTCCTATTTCTATAAGTATTGATAATATAAAGCTTAACATTTTTGACATGTATGTAAACCATTTTCTAACTAAAATTTTTCGCGTTGCAATTGTCTAACGTAAACATTTCGCCGCCTTCCTGGAGAGTACACGCCTCTCACAAAAAATATTTTTAAATTGGTACACATAATATTTTGTTTCCACAGTAAAATACGTTAATGAGTCATTATTAATAATGTTAATCCTTCCATCGAACCTGTTGTACGAAATATCTGGATGATACAGTTATTTATAAAATACCTTATTTAAAATGTCAATTTCCTAATAATAAATCTGCTATTATACATAGAAGACGTGTATACCTCTGAAGCTGTACGGTTTTCTGACATACTAAAACAAGCGAAAAAGAACTCACTGTATCTGGTTGCACAAACAATTGATAAGATAGATAGGCAGAATAAATGTACAAGTTTTTGTATTTTTGATTTCCTCATCTCTCAACACAGAAGTACATGATATAGTGTGAGAAATACCTGTAATGTATTCAAAGTTCACCCAATGCAATATTTCGTGGATTTAATTATTTACCTTTTCCTCCAGCATCACTAAAGGGCCCGAGCTCTAGATAGTCCAATGCTCCATTATCGACAAAACCACGATAATAGCACTAACATACTCGCCATATCGAGTATTACATATTGTGCGAGCATTGTTGTCCTGATGTAACAAATGAAGCCGCACTACGGAGTCATTTCTGCTGTTTTAACAATTACGTGGGAATGTCAACCATTATGAATTACTCGTTATAAACGACAAACGGTGCATATACCGAAAGATCCGGGTTCCATTCCTGGCTGGGGCAGTCAATTCTTCGAATAGTCAAACCGTATTTTATAAATAATTCTTTACTAAGTAGTTATGAAGGTGGTTGGAAATAGCAAATCGAGGAACTTCCCATGTACTTGTTAAAATTTACAACTGTAACCAGGTGGTGAAATTTAGTGTAACCGACAGAGGTATCGTACTTCGAGCGGCTCTGGCGCGTCAACTGCTGTGGTCATTAGTCCCATAAGTGCAGTGTGTGTTTCATCACTGGTGTTGGCGGTGTTCTGCCCCTACTGGATGGCGAGATCTGGCGTCGATGTACATGTCGGCTTGCCTGGTTTTCCCCATCTACCACCAGTGGGGCACCGCCCCAATCGGAACAAACTCTAAACTCCCGACCGATCTCTCGGCATGTTTGGTAGTGTAGTGTATGTACGTGTAAGTGTGTGTAAGGGGTGAGGATAGACAAGGAAGAGGTAGGAAAGATCGCTCACGACCCGTGGCCGATCCGGCATTCGCCTTGTGGTGATAGGAGAAATCACGGAAAACTACCAATTAGAGCAACCGGCCTCTAAAATTCTCCAAACGGCGACTTAATACGACCTAAATGACAAGCTACTGTAGAAAATCTTGTCACTGTCAGGAGTGGAAGCCTAGGGCCTCCCGATCAGATGCATTGCAGTGAAATCAATTGATGCCCTGAGCAACCTCATCCGGTGGGTGAGTTGAAGGTTGTAGGTGTGACCCGGTCGCGTGACTGAAATTCCATTAAAATACAAACATCAACTAATTTGGCGCGTTGCCGGAATCGAGCTCTTCAGTCAATTGCTCTGATCGGCGAGTGTCGTGGTTTCCCTAATCCCTTCCAGAAGGATTCTGATGCATCACCCTTCGTTAGGGACTACGCGCCGAGCGCCTTCTTCTCTTCCCGCCTCCTCCAGCCCACTGAAGGACGTCGCGTGGGAGTATTTCTCGTACTTTCCCTTTCGCAAGCGGCACGTGCCCGCGGCCGGAGGTCGCTTCCAAAGCATTACGGATTAAGCTGATAAAATGTACTTGGTTATGTTGAGGTTATTATTCAATCACTTGAAAAAACATTGGGAGATTGCGCGGCGGCATATCGAAGTTTTTCTTCCCATCAGAGTTAGTACTTAACTGTCACTTGTTTTAAATAAGTGAATGACATCATTTAAAGATCTAAAATTGAGGGATAAATTGCAATTTATATTCTTTATTATTTATAATTAAGCTTTCCTTAAGTCAAGCAAAAGATGTATAGAAAAAAATTGCATCCATATGTCAGAAAATTTGAAAATGACCCACAGGCTTCCTTTAAAATAGAATTCCCCCCACTTCAAAATATTATAAGGATCGCTGGAACGGCATATCAGAAAGTTTCAGCTTAAAATATGTGACAGAGTTTTGCGTAACATGACCATCCATCCGCCATACATACACGCATCTCCGTTTTTTTTACGACATTGTGTTTTCTGCGAATGGGATGACGTCTATTGTCTTCCTACGTCATAAGAACTGCGATTAGTCACCTTCAACACGAGTAAAGGGGTACAGACTTTCAGGAAGGATTTATTTTATTGAAGAAAATGTGCAATAATTCTCTATTACAACTTTTGCACTTCGTCACTGATTGAATGACCAGAAAAGGCAAATGCAGAAACTAATGCATTGTAGATAGTTTATACTATCTTTTGTCTTTTCTGTAAATATATTTTAATGATTAAATCATTAAACAATACTTTTAATACAAACATTATCAAATTATAATTAAGTTATATTATTTATTAGTTTTATTCTTTTTGTAAAATTAATCCTTACTGAATTTCAAAATATGTTAATATCAATTTGTAGAAGATAATTTAATCCGTTCCTGAATAAAAAATAGTGTCCGTTTTCTGAAAATAATTAAATTTAAAACGTGAAATACTTCGGCATTGTTCTCATGGAAATGTGATACGTAGAGGAACACAATTTGAGTCGCTGAGAAATCATATAACCAGTATTTTTTATAATAGTGTTTGTTTCGTTTACATCTTACGTAGCAGGTGAAGAGTCAAGGTTGTGACATGGCTTCTTTATACGTTCATAGCCACTAAATCAAACAGTCTTAAATGAATGAAAAAAGAGTACCTTGAGACAATACACCATTAATTTTCCTTTGTATGTCAATCAGATTTTATTATTTACATATGCGAAATACCTTCCATTGCAATATCCACAATTCCCTGTTTCTACATACACCTTCAAACATAAATGAAAGGCTGTGCTGATATGCCTTTGCGAATAAAAAATTATAACTTGTTAATCATGAGCGGATTCTGAAAACTTACAATTGCTCATTTCCAACATGGGTTGTATTACAGATCTTTCTCAAATTTGGCACTACCTGGTATTCAACAATATTCGTACCAACAACTTGTTGACTTTCATATTCGCTGCTAAGGGTGGACAGAACTGCATTTATTCTAATACCAATAATTGTGTTATCTGCCAGAAAACATTTGGAATCTTCAGTGGCGAAACCATGAATTTTCTCTGTAGGAGGGAGGAACT